AAAAAAGCCCCACCAAACCGCCCCATCCCGCCCCTCAGACGGCAGGCAGCTGCTGCCTGCGGCGACTCTAGAGGATCCCAAAGGCTGATGAGAGGGATGGAGGGCTCGTTGCTAGAGGGGGGGAGGGGAGTGCACGTTCGATCGAGCGGGCATGCGATGGAGGTGCTGCGCCGCAGCGGGAGCGCAGATTGAGCGATATAGCGGCGTTGAAGGAAGGAACAAGGCACGGCCATCGAGCCAGCAACCACAACTCGCGTCGCGTCGTGGGTGGAAGACCAACGAGGCTCGTCGCGCGCTACGAAGGCCATCCTTCCTTCGTTCCTTTCCTGTTGTTTGTTGTCGGCGCCTCTCAGAAGTGGTTATTTTTTGCCTCTTTTCCTTTTTCTCTCTCTCACTCTTTTGTCGGCGTTGCTCAATTGTTCAGGTCTGGATGACTCACTCCACAGTGCCCACAAGGCCTATTTCCACCACTGCTCCCCTTGCCTATGCCAACTCCTCTATCAGAAGTTGAGTTACAAGTTTTATTTTCATGTTTTATTATTAAATGCTCTGTGTGCATGTACAGTAGACAACCCATTTCCAATAACTTAAGCATTTCAGCATATATCCAATAGGTGTAAAAATGGAAAAAAAAAAAAAAAAAAAAAAAAACTCCATGTAGGAAAATTGAAATCAAGAGGATTTTAAGTGTTTTCAAAAAAATTGATCCAAAAATAGAATTTATATAAATGATTTTGCTAAAGATTCTCTTGGATCCATTTCCAACATTTAGGCCAATCTAATTCCAACTGGTGGTAGATTACAAAACCAAGAATCCAACTTTTATAAAATTGTGTTGTGTGGCACCTAATAATGTTACCAAACTTCATCTAATTTTGTACTACCTACAAATATAAATGTGTGGATAATGCCACAAAAATGCAAACATATAGTCATAAGTAATCCATCATGTTTGAGTTGAATTTTTGCCACTATTCTTCCTTGTTTCCGCTCATCTCCAACCAATATTTCACACATCTTTTAATCTACTTCTAACAACTTTTTTAAAATTTCTTTCCACCATAAAGTTGTATAAGACATAAGTAAGGTATCAAAATATATTGCATATTTGTGAGGTTTTTGTGGATGGGCGATTGCTACAATTGCAACATAGATTGTATAGGATTAACATAGTTCTAAAACAAACCTCCAAACAAAAAATAAAGGTTGCTCACAAGTTGCAATTCTAACATCCATGTGTATTGATTAGGAGGCTCCAAATTATATTGCCTCTTTGCACTCCATGTTGGAATCTCAGCACCAACAATCCCCTCATAGGACCGCTTTGCAATGTTAGTAGGGCCAACAATACCCCTGCAGTGCTAAATTGCAACCTCAAATCTCCTTATAGTATTAACTTGGGCCAAAATTCTCTTATACTCCATACATGAATTTTGATGCCAGATTGCTCCAATGATCTTCATCACCCTCCCATAAGTTGCAAAGCAAAAGACTTGGCTTACAAGACTAGATGAGCTAGGCACAATGACTCTTGTTGTGTCTACAAATTTTAATATTGTATCTCCTTTGTACATGCAATTGCTTTGTGCACAACTAATTGTGAGGCTTTTCACTCAAGCACCTTGAAGGCACATTCTTTTGCCAAAGTGTCTCGCTTAAGTACCTTGCAGGTATGCTCTTTTATAACAACTCTTTGCTCAAAAGCCTTGTAGGCCTATTCTTTTGCCTTTGCAACTTGGTGAGCTTCTCTTAAAATCCTCATTTCTTCTAGATCTACTAATCATTTATGTTTTGAGTCTTCTCTTCAAATTTGTGCTTGTTCTTTCTTTCTTTCTTGTTCAAGATTTCAATTTTTGATTTGTTATAGAATGCTCATATATGCCTTTGAGGTTAGCATTAATGATTTAAAAAATTCACTATAAGGCCCACATTGTGTTTCTTTGAGTTGGTTGTATCTATAATAGTAGGGAGCATTAGAAAATAAATTATGGATTCTAAATTAGAGCATACAAGGTCTAATCCACCAACTTCTTCCATTAACTTCAAATCCAATATGTTTGCATATATACTAAGTATATTTGACTAATTTGATAAACTTGAAGAACTTGACAAATAAAATGATTCTAAAGAAGAAGAATTTATTATATTATATAGCAAGCTTATCAAATTTGAGCAACTTGATAAATAAATTATTTTTAAATATATTTATTTATAATATCAATTAATAAGCTTGTTGGCCATAAGAACCATTTCAAATGTAGATTTATAAATTATTTTAAAAAAAATACCAAAGATCTTATAAATCATTTGGCAATCTTATTAAGTCTATAAAATTTAAAGATTGACTTTCTAAAATTAAGAAATAATTTTTAAATTTTCTAATAATATTATATAAATTTAATAAATTAAAAAATTAATTTAATCCAAAAAAGATTTATCAACTTATTTGGTAAATTTAATAAATTAAAAAATTAATTTAATCTAAAAAAAGATTTTTCAACTTATTTGAAAAACTTAATAAGTTTAAAAATTCTAAAAAGTATATTTTATTCAAATAAGAAATTTTAACCTATTTAATTGGAAAGCTTATCAAGCTTAAAAAAAATAAAATATCAAGTTCTTTCAAATATAAAAGGTTAGCTAGTTTATTTAGCAAGCTTATCAAAAATATTAAAAGTTTCAAATTGTTCTTTTTAAAGATCAAAGATATTCTATTTATTTTCTTATGGTAATTTTTAAATCAACATAATTTTAAAATATATTTTTTAAGAATTATTTTTAGTATATATTATTATTATATTTATTTTTAAAAAAATTAATATATATATATATATATATAATATTTTAATTACTATTAATTCTTTAATTGTGATCTAAAAATCTTTATTTTTTGTAACTCCTTTAATTTTTGATGTTTTAAATTATATAAAATACATTCTTTAAAAGTAAAATTTAACTTATCAAATTATTTAATCAAATATACATGTATTTTTAATTTTTTAATTATTCTAAATTAAAACATTTTTATTTTATTTTTAGAAAACTTATAAAAATATTATGTTGATTTTATGTAATATATAATTTATTTTATTTCTTTATAAAATTAAAAAAGAAATAAAATCAGTTAGGATTTTTAGTATTTAATTATTTTAAGTAGTAAAAAATTATAAAAATACTAAATTACCTCTTGTTATAACATAAAAAGTACAAATCAAATTCCAATGGATATTAAAATATTCCATAATCAAATTTTTAACTTTAATTATTTATTTTTGTTATCAATATTAATACTGCACATGTAATTTTAATTTAAATTAAAAATATTTTATTCCCTTGTGAATCTATAGATTGGCACTACTTCATGTTTTAAATTTGAATGCCTTTTCATTCATTTTTTTTCAAAAATTCAAAAATTCATATCTTGACATTAATCATGTATTTCTATTAGTCCATATTTGTCTATTTTTATCATTTATTGATGATTTAACATATCTAAAATAATGCTTGCATATTTAATTATGAAATCAATCTTGACATGAATCTATACTTATATTAATCTTTCTTTCAATGTACCAACATGTTATACATCAAAAAAAAAAAAAAAAAAAAACCCAAAAAACCCAAAAAACCCAAAAAACAAAAAAAACAAACATATGTCAAAAAACTTATTCTTTACCAAAGTTTCAACTCATCAAAGCTTGTGGTTCAGCTACCTCAAAGCTTGTAATCACTATAATAATTTCACTCAAATCTCTTCTTCCTTTAAAATTTTAAAAATTCTTTAGACAACTTATCATTGTTCCTATAAGTAGGAATAATAAAAAAACTTTAAACTTACATCTTACTTAAGTTTTTTAATATCTACTTTATGAATATTCACGGGACACTGCTTTACCACCTTTTAATTTGATATTGTCACAATTAATACTCCACCTTTGTTAGAGTGGAATATATCTTCAAGCACAACATAATTGATTTAACCTTTATTTTTCACATCACCCAAGACCAACATAATCTACCCAACCATAACAGAAAAATAAATATATAAATAAATACTTAAAATCTCCCACCCCAATTGGTTTGAACCAGGTGACTGCCAAGCACAGTTAACCAAGACCATCTCAGCTAAGTAAAAACCAACAAAAATAAATACAAAAACAACAACAACATCTGGTTATTCTCATCACCAGTGCATAAGCAAAAACGAAATACATCTACCAGGAGCTCTCCGCTCTCATGTTACTTGCATGCAGCAGAGCGATGTTACAGCATGTAAAGCACGAGTAGAACGTAGGTTGGTTGCATTCTGTGCCAGTTCACAAAACAAACCCAATTCACTTTGTGCCTCATGATCTGGGTAAACGTGATAGTAACAAGCATCAAAATCATAATTTCATTGAACTAAGAGGGAACAAGCCTGGAAAACTCGTGCATTCAATCCAGTGTGAAAAAAATATAAAAAATAAAAATAAAAATTGATAATGCTTTCATTCTATGTTTCTCACACTGGATTTAGCTGAAATTCAACATCATAAAGCTTCTTCACAGAAGCAATCATCTACTCGGAAGGTTCAGTACTATCCGTGAGCCTATGAAGTACCTGAAAAAACAGTCAGGCAGGTTTTGAAACATGTCACACACCAACGACAGGGATTCAAGTCTGAATATGCATTCGCTGCGCACTCTTTACAGGCTTCTCAGACCCACATTTCAATAAAGTGCACATGGATGAATCACACTAGGGATATACAAGAATCAAACGCAATATTAAATGCCTGACTTCTTTTTGATCTTTGTGATTCAAACCCATAAACAACTGAGGTAAAGCTTTTGAGTCCCTAGACTAGAGGAAGTTCCACTATATGAAAACTACACTCAAATTGGTTGCAAAATCTTCTTCAATGTTTTGTGCCAACTAATACACACTACATAACATAATAGTAGTAAATCTTCTAGAGGAGTTTTTAATATTAAAAACCTTGATTAATATGTTTATGTTAAATTAGATCGAATGTTAATTTAAACAACTCCATCTTTAGTATGTATTTTCATATTATGTATACAATCTCATATTTTGTGTCATAAAAAGAAATTTATCTTACTTTATACAGTACTATTATTAGCATGCAATCTTATCTTATGCATCTAATGTTGCCTTATTTTATACAAACTTTCCATAAATATTATAAAATACCTCCTTATAATTAATTAGGCACACATGACAAAAAAAAATAAAAATAAAGAATCTTTAATTTGTCATTCTAATACCTCCTCTTTTTATAACTACCTAAAACATTTGAGAGATCATTTGGCTTTTAATATCCTTGATGTTGACCTTCTATCTCAACAATTTTTTGACCATTTAATGTACCATAATTTACTCATAGTCCTTTTCTACAAAAAGTTATTTTTTGCACAAAAACAATGTTTATTATCTTGATCATTTCTATTTTCTAAAAAACAAAGCAATGTTACAATAGAAAAGTAAAATTAAATTAAAGATATATATATATATATATATATATATATATATATCATTTATAAACATACTTTGTTTTCTTATCAAAACATAGAAGTTATCTAAAGTTTGTGCTTGTTAAGTTTACTAATTTAAAATTTGATCACATTTATACCAAGACTTTATCTTATTTAGATAGATATTTAATTTTTCATTAATTCATTTTTAAATATAAAATACCTGAAGTGAACCTTAACTTAAAAGCTCAACATTTTACCAACCATGTATTAAGAATATTACTCCATTTATATGAAAATATTCATTTGATGCCTAATAAACATATTAGTGGTTCTCAATTAATTACTTCAAATAATGTCCATAAGACTATCATAATGTGCTACCAAATAATTTCTGAGATGATCCAAACAAATACTTCAGCTAAATTCTCAATCATAGAAAAATTAAGCTTCTTAAATATTAAACAAGAAAATACAAACATGACTACACAATAATTGACATCCAATGTTATTGATGCAAATTCAAATCTATCGTAACAATCACAATTACTCATAAATTTTTAAGCCCAAATCTCTTGCTGAGGTGGAGAAACTTTCAAAAAAGAACAAAAGAACAAAGAAAACAAAGAAAACAAAGAAAACAAAGAAAAAGGAAAAACCACTTAACACTGCAAAACAAATCTTTGGTAGACCTATGAAAAACTATCATCTATATCTTAAATTCATGCTAAAAGAAATGTATTCAACTTTATAACCATCAAATAATATAATCACATTCAATAAATATATCTTAACGTGCCTTATCACTTCAGTTACAAATAAAAATAAACTCCACTAAATTATTCATTTCAATATAAGAAAAAACTACAAAAACTATCAAACCAAAATCAAAACTAACATATTCAACACTAAAACTAACCAAGTCTCGAAAAATTCAACCTTATCTAATCAAACTTATTCTATATTTAAAAATTTTAGATATTCTATATCAACTGTAATGATAACAAGAAAGAAAAACATATTTCAATCAACAATTTAACAAAAAGGTCCTCAAAAGACTAAACTCCCTTGAGAAACAACTTACTCAGCTACCACTTTATAATCCTTTCACTGTTTAAAAATTACAAATCACACAATGTTCATTTTCTACTCCAAAAAGCCCAAAGAAAATATCATGAGGTACAATGTAGCTTATCCTTGTGTTGCATTCATAGTATTACCTCCACAATATTTGTTGGATAAATCTCCAAAAGTGCTTCTCGAAAAAAACTAAAAAACCAACATGAAAAAGCGTCAAAAACACAACCAGATTCTACCTATATTTGACCCTTCAATCATTGCTACCATCAAGGCATGACTATACATATTTGGACTTGTAATACCAAATTCATATCGTCCATTCTCTCATCCATATCACAAAACCAATCCCCACAACCACCACAACAACAACATCAATGTTCCGCCGTGGACCGAAATCGCACAACGCTGCAACTCAAACCCCCTCCATCACAACTGCCACACAGCTTCTCAACACTATACTCGTCACAAGCTCAGCGTCACGTCCCAACCCCGTCACATACTCCACACAATACGACTCCCAATACCTACTCAAATGTGCCACCTCGGTGCACTATCATTCATTCATCATCACTTTCTTCTCGCACTCACCCACGTCTCCCCTTCGTCCATCAACTTCCAAATGACCATTACCGCACCCTTCATCTCGTCTTCGTCTTGCATTCATAACAGCCAACTGAAACCACACACTCCTCAATACCATCACATCATTCATCCCCCCCCCACCTCCTTCCACACTTCCGCTCTACCCTGCCCACCATCACTGCGTCCCTACTCTCACAGATTGCTCCCATATTGCCCCCCCACCCCCGCGCGACCTCCACTCCAACATGCACCGTCTCCGCGTTCTCACATACAACATCTCCAAAGCCCCGCCATTATGCTCTCATCCAAATCTTCCACTCCACGCTCTCATCTTCAACCTTCGCGTTTCCGCAATGCTTCTCTGCCCTCACCACATATCGGACGGAAATCCCACACACCCTCGTCCCGCTTCTGGGAACTTCTGTAACTGTCAACCTCCGTCCCTCGATTTACACTCCCACCACTTCTACCCTGCTGCTGCTTCTGCGACCACGTCATCGGGGCCGTCCAAGTCTCCTCGCTACAAGCCCTCCACCGGTTCCACCACGCGCTAACCGACCTCTCCGCCCACTTCCCACATTCCTTCCCACTCAGCCCTGTACCCATCTTAACTGTGCGTCCGCTGCCTCACTACCACACCGCCCCTCCCGGGTCCGCTTCTACTCTCTGCAGCCACCATTCTGCTGCACATGAACTCTACTCCAAACAAACCCTGACAGCTCACACAATGAAGCTTCGTCCAATGCGCACCTCACAACCCCGGCCCTATCCATCCATTTCACCTCTGCCCCTCCTCTCCCACAAACCTCACCACACACAACCCTCTAAATGTACACTGCCTCTCATTCGCCCAAACTGCGCACACGCCTGCCACGCATTCACAGTCTCCTACTCTTCCTATGTACGACGTCAACCTCGACACACGCTGTTCACAACGTCAAGCCACGCCACAACCAACCCCATGTTGCACTCACCCAACACCCATGTCAGACTGCTGGCTTCACGTCTTCCTCTTTCTCGGTCCGCTTGTACTCTGGCTTCAGCTCATACGTCCCTTGATTCGCGCCTCTTTTGTTGTAGATGCACAGGTCATTCAGTATTTCTTTCAGAAACGCCTGCACACACCACAACCACCACCAACTCATCTTGCATGCTTCTCTGTGTCACCCACTTCCCACCCATACCAACAAATCATCCACCTCCTTTCCCCACCGCTGCACGTCTGCACCTCTGCACATCGCTGCGCAACGGATCGCCCACCCGTCTTCCAGCGATCCGTCAACCATGTCATCGCCCACGCCGGATCTCGCTTCACTGCCCACGCACAACATCAACGCTTCTAAACCCCCCACTTACCACAGGCTGGTCCGTTTCCTCCACCAGATGCTTCAGCGCCCAGTTAGGTCGCTGCTCGAAAAGCTTGAACACGATCGCTTCCAGCTCCACTCTATCCCTCCGGATTCTTTTCCCTTCCGGAGCCTTCACGGCGCTGCTTATCGGTGCCTTCTTCTTGCTGTCCTGCAACCACATGGCCTTCATGTCAAACATCTCCCCATCCTACTCCCTCACCATGTCTCCGCAACGCTCCACTTCCACATCATACGTGCAACTCGTTCCCAAAAAAACCCACGCTAACTCATATCCCCTGCGAACTACCACTTTCATCACATA